AGGGCGTCAGAAGCAACAGCTTGAGCTGCACGGAGGCCGGAGCACGTGAAACAGATCCTTGCCTAAAAATGATCTCATTGGGCGGAGCAAGGATATGGAGCTTGTCATGGAGTGGCTGAGGAATCCATGATGAGCATCGGGGAACTCATTTGTACATAATTTTTTTTTTATTTTTTTAAATTAAATGGGTTTTCGGGTTGACCCGGTAACCCGCCGGGTCAACCCGACCCGACCCGTTTTATCAAACGGGTCAAATCTGTAAACCCGAACCCGACCCGTTTATCAAACGGGTCGGGTCCAACCCGGATTTTCCGGGTCGGGTTGTCGTGTCGTGTCAAATATTGACACCCCTAGCTGAACATCAAGGACTCTACTCTTTATAAATATCATTAATACACAGGCAAGATTTTCAATCCACTACATATTTTCACATGAACTCCTATTATTGCCACTCATTACTTAACTTGCCATCTTTGCAAATAGCGGAAAAATTTCTCAAGCACTTATAAGTCTCACCTGTGAATTTAGAGGTAAGGAGTGAGAAAGGAACAAGGAAAAGGAAGCATCAAAGGAAGGCTAAGAGGGAAACACATAAAATTTGATGAGAATGAACTTCAATATCCTAAGTATAAGGATCATACTTTGAACAATAAAAAAATGCACACATTTATAGGGTAGAAAATTCAACTGAAAAGCATTAAGAGAAGCATCACATAAACATCCTCTCATATAAATCTAGTTAGCATTAATACTTTTTTTCATTCTCTTTTACCCTTTAGATGTTATGCACTTAATATTTAATTGTCCAATAAATAGTGACAAGTCTATACTATTATAATGGATGTAGATATTCTCATCTAATCATATTATAAATGCCAACTTTACTTCATGCACATATTTCCCTTCGCTTCAACATTGGCACACTAGTCATTCAAAATTAGCCCTTTAATAATTCAATTCATATGTGACTTATTGTCTTTTCTCAAACTAGAACAACGGTTTTTCTTCTCCACTTATTTTCCACCTCATCAGATAAAGAGATAGATAGAAAGCATCATTTACATTTGAGATTGATGGTAGACCCATCGTATTATAATTTAAAGAAATATTGTTTGCCCTATAAATAATCTTAAAAATTCTTAATATGTTGGAAACTAAGAACAAAATCCAAGCGGGTTTTCTGTAGATTCCTAAACCTAGCTTCACCAAAAGAGAGAGAATGTGGCCGCTGGATGAGAATGAGACGAAGACAGTATTTGAAAAACTATTCAATTTCACCGGTCCCAACCTGAAGCACATTGTGGAACTGCTGGCGACAAAGGGACCCGACGAAGCCCCAGGCCATTACTGCTTTCATCTCCACAAGAACTGTGTCTACTACATGAATGAATCCATCATCCGCCACGCTACCAAAATCTCCCATGATCGTAGTCTCCATAGGCACTTGTATCGGAAAGTACCCCAACTCCAGCTTTTTCCATCTAACGATTCAATCTCTCAAATCTCCTAGCCGCCCACGCTCATCTAGTCAAGTTGGGTTCATTCTTCAATTACAACATTTCCTATAAAATCATTGACAAAATATTGACAAATCGAATGAAATTGGCCATGCCTTATATTATTCATCCTAGTCAAGTTGGGTTCCTTCAACAGAAGAATTTCTTCTAATAATATTACTTTAGCTAATAAAATTATACATGAATTGGTTCACAACAGACAGGGAAGTTCTTCTGTGTCAAATTAGACATAAAAAAAAAACATTTAATATTATAAACATGGAGTTTGTTCTAAAAAGGCTAAAGCTAAAAAAAGATTTCTCACCTCTGTTCATTGACTGGATTGGTGGCTGCATCACTAACATTCACTATTCCATTTGTATCAATGTACCAATTGTACTCTTGAAGGCTTTTTAATCCCACATCGGCTCTTAGGCAAAGTTTCCATTTCTCATGAATATATTTGTAATAACCTTACGTTACGTGTTCCAATAGATTATTTTCTGATATGTTTTGGGATGTTACTTGTGCTGGTTGCTTCTACTTGCTCTTTCAGTCTTGAGTTATTTTAGATGCCTCAAGCCCCACGAACTTTTATTTGGTCCGGTCACAGGACGTAGCTCTACGTTCGGCGCCCCACGAACTTTTATTTGGTCCGATCACAGGACGTAGCTCTATGTTCGGCCGCCAGTAGAATCGCGCCACGCGTTCTCACTATTTACCGCGTGCCCCGACAACTCGACCTGGAACTGACCCAGGATGGCTCGATATTTTTTTCGATTTTATTAGGTATTGCTTGGTATTGCTAGGTATTGGTCGATTTTGCTCGGCAATAATCAATACCGAGTTGTACCGAATTTTTCTAGAAAAATTCGGTACAACTCGGTATTGGTCTTCACAGAGCGGTATTTCTCGTTATTACCAAGCAATACCGAGCAAATGCCAAGTAATACCTCGCAATACGCGAACATAACATGCTCGGGTTCCAGTCCGGGTCAAGTCGTCGGGCCGCGCGGTAAAGAATAAGAGCACGTGGCGACATGTTATTGGCGGCTAAACGTAGCTCTACGTCCGGTCATAGGACGTAATAATATATCTTTTGCTATAGATATATCTCTTTCTTTTTTATGTTCTTCACTATAAATATTGCCATTTTATTTATTTTGACCTTACTCTCATACACATACCCTCAAATTTCTTGAAAATTTTAGAAAAGAAAAATTCAACACTAATGATCAACGGAAATAGCCTCCGGCTGAATCTTTTGATCAGAAGATAGTTGAAAAAAAAAATAAAAATTTTTAAAAAGGTTAAAACATTCATTTATAATGAAAAGATCACATAATTTAGGGTACTAAAATTCCAAAAGAAAATTTATGGAACTTAAATCATAATCCAAAAAAATAATAATAATGAGTTGACATTTTCATATAAAAAATTATCAGTAATATCAAAACATTAAGCTTAAAAAAAAACTAAGAGATGCACATGATTGCCGCATGTCCACAAACCTCTGCAAGTGTATGCATCCGTGCAACAGACTTTCTTTGATTAACGACAGAAAAGCAATTCCATGCGCATGCACCATGCCATCTGCATATGCTATTTACACTCGGAGGATTTGCCTTTGCATGCGCCAATCACTTGACACGTGCACAAGTCATTAAAAATTTTTTTTTTTGGTTTGGAAATAGTCATTAAAAAGTTAATACACAACATGACTGACAACACTTGTTTTGTTAACAAAGGGAGCCAGAGATTTACAGAACGCTAAAATAAACCTCCTCAGCTCAAAAAAATACGGTGGGGAAGTGAAATCTCGTCCGATTTCTAAGCCCGCGGCCCGATACCGCTCAGTACTGTCAATACAGCTCGGTACCATGACTCGATATGACTAATTCTAATTGATATCCGGATATAGAGTTGCGTTTGACGTCCGCACAGAATAGACCTTATGGCCCACTCATGCCCCATGAGTTTGCCAACAACACCAGTTCTGACAAAAAAAACATAGCATAATCGCAAGCAGAAACATGAAATGAAAAATCTGCTTCAATTACATAATATGATTTTGTTTAAAAGGACACATGACATTATTTCTCAATCACCATTAATAAGACATTTTTTTTTCTCACGACCACATTCAACTGAGAGTGTCGCGTATCGCACACTGATCACACCAAAGGTTCAATAGATACAAGCCAAATTCTACAATATAGACATGAATTTAATAGCTATTATCAGCCACCAAAGAATCAGACCCTCCCACTAAACCCAGGATTTCTAATACTCCCACCAAGGAGGGTCAACAATCCACCACCATGGACCCTTCCCTCAGGTATCACAAACCCAGATTTTCCTTCGCTAGTAACAGTCGCCATTCGTGATGGCATGGCCCTTGACAACTTCACCACAGATGGAACAAGAACCTGTGCAGGGATGAGGGACTGCCTCTTCCCCATGTTCTCCAATGGCTCATTAGCCTTGCCCGAGTTCTCGGATGATTCAGTAGTACAGCAATCGGATACCGCACTCGCCCCTGATGATGAATCCATTGTTGTTGCAGACACAAGCTTCTCAAACAGCCCATGGCCGATCGATCCTCCACCAACTGCAGCTGCGGCGGCGGTAGCAGCATTACCATGAGCAGCACATAGTCCACTCCTTCCCCGAGCAAACTTTTCGCATCCTCCATTCCAACAGCAGAGAGAGAGAGAGAGAGAGAGAGAGAGAGAGAGAGAGAGAGACCTTGTCAGAATGAGGGAGCCGAAGGCTTCCTCCAAGCCTTCTAAACATCTTTTGATGCACTGCTTCGTTCGATAAACCAAAACCGGCCCTGCGACCTTTTGCTCCCACCAAAAGTCGCTCGAACCGATCTCACATTCGAGGGCTCATGCGACTGAAAGGCCTGACAACAGCAGGTTCCAAATTTCGGGGAGAGCAAGACCATCGAGGCAATTTCTTGATTTGGGAAATCAATTCAAATTAAACCAAAAGTGAATTGGAGTTTGCTTAAATCAAAATGAACCAGTTTGACTCAGGTTTAGGCTGAAAATGGGCTCAATTCAAGGCCAAAATTGGATCAGTTTAAATGTGAACTCGATCCAAATTGTCTTGATTCAGAATCGGGCTAGGTTCGATCAATTTGATCAAATCAAATTAAAGACGATTCGGGTCAAATTGAACTCATCATGATTGAAATAGACTAAACGGGCTCGACTGATCATGGTCGAGTCTAATAGAAATCAATTCAAATCGATTCAAGTTTGAATTGGGCTCGACGAGGTCTAATTAAGCCGATCGAAGGTGCTCGAGAGTGCTTGAGCGAAAACCGAGATCAACACACTTAATATGTAATTGTCCAATAAATAGTGAGAAGTCTATACTGTTATAATGGACGTAGATATTCTCATCTAATCATATTATAAATCCCAACTTTACTTCATGCACATATTTCCCTTCGCTTCAACATTGGCACACAAGTCATTCAAAATTAGCTCTTTAATAAGTCAAATCATATGTGACTTATTGTCTCTTTCTCAAACTAGAACAACGGTTTTTCTTCTCCACTTATTTGCCACCTTATCAGATAGAGAGATAGATAGAAAGCATCATTTACATTTGAGATTGATGGTAGACCTATCGTATTATAATTTAAAGAAAAATTGTTTGCCCTATAAATAATCTTAAAAATTCTTAATGTGTTGGAACTAAGAACAAAATCCAAGCAGGTTTTATGTAGATTCCTAAACCTAGCTTCACCAAAAGAGAGAGAATGCAGCCGTTGGATGAAAATGAGACGAAGATAGTATTTGAAAAGCTATTTAAGTTCACCGGTCTCAACCTGAAGCACATTGTGGAATGGCTGGCGACAGAGGGACCCGACGAAGCCCCAGATCATTACTGCTTTCATCTCCACAAGAACTGCGTCTACTACACGAATGAATCCATCATCTGCCGCGCTACCAAAATCTCCCATGATCATCTTGTCTCCATAGGCACTTGTATCGGAAAGTACCCCAACTCCGGCTTTTTCCATCTAATGATTGAATCTCTCAAATCTCCTAGCCGCCCACGCTCGTCTAGTCAAGTTGGGTTCATTCTTCAATTACAACATTTCCTATAAAATCATTGACAAAATATTGACAAATCGAATGAAATTGATCATGTCTTATATTATTCATCCTAGCCAAATTGGATTCCTTCAACAGAAGAATTTCTTTTAATAATATTACTTTAGCTAATAAAATTATACATGAATTGTTTCACAACAAGCAGGGAAGTTCTTCTGTGTCAAATTAGACATCAAAAAAACATTTAATATTATAAACAGGGAGTTTGTTCTAAAAAGGCTAAAGAAAAAAAAGATTTCTTACCTCTGTTCATTGACTGGATTGCATTCACTACTCCATTTGTATCAATGGACCAATTGTACTCTTGAAGGCTTTTTAATCCCACATCGGCTCTTAGGCAAAGTTTCCATTTCTCACCTTACTTTCTATACATTGAGATGGATACCTTATCAAACTTCCTTGTAGCTAAAATTTTTTGGGAACTAGCAATGTAATTCTGGATGGAGCATCAGAAATAAAAAAAAAATCATCCATATTTTTTGAGTGCCCATATACCTTCACTCTCCTTATAAAATACTTACCTTGACCTTCCTCCTTCCTTCATATGCTCAACCACATCAAATCCTCAATTACATTAATGATATAACCTAAAACTATCAATAACTTCAACTACCTTACCACTTAATAGGGGTGTCAATTTGGGTCAACAGGTTGGGTTCAGGTCGAACCCGACTTGACCCGATCATAAACAGGTTGACCCTAACCCGACCTGGTTTTGCAGTCGGGTCAGATTTGTCAACCCGGATCTGACCGGTGCGGGTTACCGGGTTGACACGACCCGACCCGCGAACATCTGCGGAGCGCTGGAGCCAAGCGAAGCGAAGGGCCGGAGGCTGCGGAGCGGACGCGGGATGCTTGGATGCGAACATGGGATGCCTAGACCACTGGATGTGGGACGCCTGGACGGGCCAGAGGGTTGGACGCAGACGCGAACGCCGGACGTGAGACGACCTGACGCGAGACGCTTGGACGGGACGCGACCTGACGCTGTGACGCGTGATGTAGACACGACCTGACGTCGTGACGCGGATGCGACTTAGCACAAACAAAATTTGACGGGCGGCGCGGACGCGACCTGAGTGATGGGCGGGAAAAAGGTCAATTCGGGTCGACCTGCGGGTTGTCAGGCCAACCCGAACCCGACCCGCTTTTTCATACGGGTCAGAAATCCGAATCCGGACCCGACCCATTTCATAAACTGGTTGATCCGAACCTAAATTTTTTCGGGTCGGGTCAAAAGTTGACACCCCTACCACTTATTACATGATATATCTTATTTGGTTTGAAAGAAATATTAAAAGGTTTGGCAACAATATTTTAAGCTGTTCTATTATTTTTTGAAAAACATGCAAATTTGTGAGGGATGAAAAGATCACATAATTTAGGGTACTAAAATTCCAAAAGAAAATTTATGGCACTTAAATCATAATCCAAAATAATAATAATAATGAGTTGACATTTTCATATAAAAAATTATCAGTAATATCAAAACATTAAGCTTAAAAAAAAACTAAGAGATGCACATGATTGCCGCATGTCCACAAACCTCTGCAAGTGTATGCATCCGTGCAACAGACTTTCTTTGATTAACGACAGAAAAGCAATTCCATGCGCATGCACCATGCCATCTGCATATGCTATTTACACTCGGAGGATTTGCCTTTGCATGCGCCAATCACTTGACACGTGCACAAGTCATTAAAAATTTTTTTTTTGGTTTGGAAATAGTCATTAAAAAGTTAATACACAACATGACTGACAACACTTGTTTTGTTAACAAAGGGAGCCAGAGATTTACAGAACGCTAAAATAAACCTCCTCAGCTCAAAAAAATACGGTGGGGAAGTGAAATCCCGTCCGATTTCTAAGCCCGCGGTCCGATACCGCTCAGTACTGTCAATACAGCTCGGTACCATGACTCGATATGACTAATTCTAATTGATATCCGGATATAGAGTTGCATTTGACGTCCGCACAGAATAGACCTTATGGCCCACTCATGCCCCATGAGTTTGCCAACAACACCAGTTCTGACAAAAAAAACATAGCATAATCGCAAGCAGAAACATGAAATGAAAAATCTGCTTCAATTACATAATATGATTTTGTTTAAAAGGACACATGACATTATTTCTCAATCACCATTAATAAGACATTTTTTTTTCTCACGACCACATTCAACTGAGAGTGTCGCGTATCGCACACTGATCACACCAAAGGTTCAATAGATACAAGCCAAATTCTACAATATAGACATGAATTTAATAGCTATTATCAGCCACCAAAGAATCAGACCCTCCCACTAAACCCAGGATTTCTAATACTCCCACCAAGGAGGGTCAACAATCCACCACCATGGACCCTTCCCTCAGGTATCACAAACCCAGATTTTCCTTCGCTAGTAACAGTCGCCATTCGTGATGGCATGGCCCTTGACAACTTCACCACAGATGGAACAAGAACCTGTGCAGGGATGAGGGACTGCCTCTTCCCCATGTTCTCCAATGGCTCATTAGCCTTGCCCGAGTTCTCGGATGATTCAGTAGTACAGCAATCGGATACCGCACTCGCCCCTGATGATGAATCCATTGTTGTTGCAGACACAAGCTTCTCAAACAGCCCATGGCCGATCGATCCTCCACCAACTGCAGCTGCGGCGGCGGTAGCAGCATTACCATGAGCAGCACATAGTCCACTCCTTCCCCGAGCAAACTTTTCGCATCCTCCATTCCAACAGCAGCGCTTCCCACCACCATGAGCCTTGCAGTAGTTTGTGCTTCCCTGCGCGCTCTTTCCACACCCCTCATAGTGGCACCGCTTACCCCCACCATGCCTAACGCAGCGGTCGGTGCGGCCTCTTGCACTCCGGGTGCACCCAAACACTACACATCGCTTGCCGCCACCATGTGCCACACAAAAGTTGGTTCCACCATGGACGCTCTTTGGGCAAAGCCCGCCTCCTTCGTATAAGCATCGTCGGCCACCGCCATGACCCTTGCAAAACGGTGTGCTGCCCTCTGCCCCTTTGTTGCACCCTTCAAACACGCACCTTCTGCCACCTCCATGGGCCTTGCAGTACATGGTGCTCCCCTGTGCGCCCTTGCTGCAGCCTTCTGAGAATTGACACCTACGACCGCCACCATGAGAGATGCAAAGTCCCGCCTGACCCTCAGCACTACGGGTGCAATCCGCAACAGTGCAGCGCTTCCCGCCACCATGTCGAATGCATAGCCCAGACTTTCCTCGAGATGCCTTGCTACAGCCCGGGTGGCCACATCGCCGCCCACCTCCATGGGCTATGCAGTAATCAGTTTTTCCTTCAGCAGACTTGGTGCAACCAAGAAGATGGCAGCGTCGCCCTCCTCCATGGGCCTTGCAATAGGCAGTCCTGCACTCAGCGCCCTTATTGCAGCCAGGCTTCTGGCATCTCTGACCTCCACCATGGGCAATACAGAGCCCTGAAGCCCCACGGGCACCTTTAGAGCATCCATTGAACTTACACTTCTTTGGTGGGTGTCGATGGCTGGAAGGCAATAGGTTTGAATTTGTTGAAAGCGAACAATCACTCATCCCAGAGGGTTCTGGACTGAGCTCAAACTGAGTTTCCTGAATGCCCTTACTGAAGTTCTGGACCGAGCTAGGGCTTTCAGACACTGGTGCAAACAATAAAGAAGGCAAGTAAACTCCAGATTTCCTTGCTGAAGAGGAACCTTCATTATCAATGGTAAGCGAGAAGCTTTTTCTGTTGCTTTCTAACTGCATTTGCGTTGGAAGTACAGGTTCAGTATACTCCCCAGCAAGCCCAAGCTGCAAAATTCCACGATCAGCACCACAGAGTGGCATTTGGCTGAATAGAGATGCAGACATTTTAGGCTTGCCAATCTCAGCTGTGTGACCAGCAGAATAGCTGGTTGGCGTTGGACCTAATCCAAGGAACAACCTGCATCCATCATCTTGACCAGAGAGTTCAACATTGCTCTGAGAGGATTCTGCTTTTCTGGTCTTGCCAATTCCATAGCCTGGATCATCTCCCATATTCCCGATCTTCATCCATGTCGACAAATGAACTGCTTCCGTCATACTGAGGTCCATCTTATTAGATAAAAGGCAACGCCAAGCAATGAGTATGAATTCCTAATACTTTTTTCTAGTAAATATTTTGTTCGAACTCTGGTATCATATTTGGGAACCGAGTGCAGGTGAAGATAATGTAAGATGATAGTTTCTATCATCCTCCGCTTACAAAACCTGATGTGTCTGCTCGATCCATGACTGAGAAGATTGATCAAGAGGAAATATTTAGGTCAAACTCTTACCAGGTATTGAGTATATTTTATCACACTTCTAGGATAGAAACCAAGTGAAAGAAAAGATAGAAATCTCAAGACTGAAAGTGTGGGGAATCCAGGGAGTTCCTCAATTTTATAGTCAAGCGTCATTAACCCTGAAAGGAGACCAGCAATGCAGCAGATTGTTAAGACAAACTAAGCAGACAAAGAAAAGACAGATGATGTATAGAAAAACTGGATAATTTGTAAACAATGCACGGAAGCATCAATTGAATATCAAATGCAAGGTAATATATTTAAATGGTACATCCAATTCTCGCTAAGGCTTCACATGAATATATTTGTAATAACATACTCATATGCGAAAGTTTTGTTAGTACAAGAACAACAACAAGCATTTATCCCACTATGCGGGGTTGGCTACATGAATCATTTTTCTCCATTGTGTCCTGTTAATGATCAAATTCTCATCTAAATCTAATAAAGAAATGTCATTTCTAATATTTCTCAAGTCTTTTAGGTCTACCTCTACCTTTCTTAACATAAGTCAAATCTAATACATCTACTATCCTAATCGGGTCATTGGAAAGCTGCTGTTTTGTTAGTACAAGAAGATCAATTTAAATTTAAAGTTATACCATAAAGATCCACAATATAGGTAATTTTCTTGCCAACACAATTAGTGTAGAGAGAAAGAAAAACTAAAAAAAACACTTCATATGATTTCTATTGATTTTGAGAAAGCATATGATTGAATATCAGGAGGATTAATTAAAAAAAAAAAGAAGATCAGGAGGATTAATTACTTGAATATAAAGGAAAAAAATGAGTGTATCAAAAGTAGGTTAAAGTTATAAAAGGTATGCATATCTTAATGAAAAACATAGAAAAAACCCTTAATATGTTATTTTCTTTTTCTTTTGAGAATGCATATGATCACGTATCATAAAAACTAATGTGGTGCACATAGAAAAAAAATAAATGTCAAAAGTAGGTTAAAATTATTAAATACATCTTTTAAAGAGCATTGATTAGTGTTAGAATTGGTTATTAAGGGACCAAAACATCCTCAATCAAATTAGAGCTTTGCATCATAGATTAACATTAATTTTGCATATTTTTTATATTAGTTATCGAGATTCTTACAAAACACATTGAAAGCGAGATATCTTATTGTATATATCTTTGATGAGATAGTTTTAAATATTAAAACATGTTAAAATATGTGGAAAGTTAAACTAATAAAGAAAATATTCAAAATAAATAACTTCTGATCAGTATAACAAACACTAAATATATGATATGTAATTTTTAGCTGTTACGATTTTACAAATGATCAAACAATATGATCCGCCATTAAAGAACAACAATTAGGCTAGCATGTTACATGGATACGATATTTAAGCAATAAAGAAGTTGTGGTGTTGAGTGAATAAAGCAAGCTATCTTTGTGCTAATAGCATACCAAAGGACATAGTGGTGAGGCCATAGGAGTTGTTCACCAAATGAAACAGGTCAATAGGTAAACAAGAAGTGATCAACGCCTTCATCAACACCAACACTTAGAAGAACTTAATCTCTACCAAGGTAGTACATAGATGGGGTTTGAAGCCCAATCCCTAACTCTAAAGATTGATCATCAATGTCGATTGATTTTGCAATTACCAAGGACTGCATCAATGAGATGACATGTCAAGTGGAACATACATATTGCTCTTACTTGTGTCAAATGACTACAGATGGAAAGTACTTGTCAAACTATAGAGCGCCAACAAAAAATTTTGTTAACGACAAACCAAATAGAAAAACGGATGAATGCCACAAAAAGTTTTACTTATAGAGGATGTTGTAGGAAAGAAAAGAGTTCTAGGCTTGCCCTACTCTTCTAGCCACCAAAACGACATCCAACTGATCTCACACATGTCACTATAAAATCTTTTGATATATTAGAATTCAAACAACAAGAATAAAGATATCATAAGACAAGTTGCAGAGTGATGTGCCGCCGATTCACCCTGAACCGGCCCAGCTGGCCCAAGGGCAGGTTTAGGTTTATAGGAGGCGGAACTTGTCCGCCTCCCTTGGGTTTGGCCAGCCACATGGTCGGCCTCATCTTGTCAAATAGCTTTGAATTTCAAAGAGGAGTGGGCGGCTAAGTGATTGGAGGGAGAATAGTTTAGGAAAGTTTTTGTATTAAGAGGGAAAGGAGGTTTATGAAGGATTATGTTTTGTTTGATTGCAAATTAGGGTTTCTTGGCGTTTGGGCTTAGACTCTCTCGTCTAGAAATTTGGGAGAGACAATCCTCCTCTCGAATTGAGGATCAATTGTTTCTTGCTTTGAGTTTCACTTTGTTTTGTTTCTACTATCGCAATCTATCTTTTCTAGTTTGATTTTCCCACGTTTCTTGTTTCTTCTCGCTGTTTTGAGCCAATTATTGCTAGGGTTGCTTGTGAACTCAAGTATTTCCTATCACAGAGTTGCTAGAAAATGAAATTATTCGGCCTAGCAATTCACCTTGTGGATTCCCCATTGTGATGGTCATAAAGAAAGATGATGGCACATGGAGATAATGTTAACTATCATGCTCTTAACAAAATAGAATAAAGAATCATTATGTGTTTTCATGCACCAACGATCTATTAGATCAATTGAAGACTAAAATCATATTCGCCAAGCTGGATCCCAAAAATGTATATCATCATATACACATTAATGAGATGGATACATAAAAGACTATTTTTAAGACAAGGCAAGGGTTATGCAATTTTGCAACGTCTAATCTACATTCCCGAGGTTGATGAGTGAAGTATTGTAACTGTACTTTTACAACTTCATTATCATCAATTTAGATGAGTTTTCCACTAATCATGAGAAGAACACCCGAAACATTTGGGAAAATGTTTCATTTACTGCAGTAGCACAAACTCCATATAAACCAAAAGATGCGTGAATTCAAAAAGAATTGCGAGTTTAATAACAAAATCCCTTCTCCTCTTGGGATTTAAGTGGGCAATAAATAAATTAAAACTAATCCTACAAAAGTGAAGCAATCAAGGACTGGCCCAGACCACAAGACAATGACTATTGTAAGGAGTTTCATGGGGGCCTACAAATATGTCCGTAAGTTCATCAGCTCTTTTTCAATATTTTGCTCTCTTTTATATGCATTTTGATCCGAACTAATGTAAAGTTCAACTTGAGCTAAAAGCAGAGCAATACATTTCTATAGTTAGAAAGAAGACAAATGAGGCCCCCTGTGCTTGTCTTGCCAATTTTGCAAAGATTATTCAAACTAGAGTGGGATGGTAGTGAAGAATATGAAATGAGTGTAGTACTAATGCAGAATGGGAGACCCATTACTTACCACTCTAAAATGTTTCAAGGAACTCAAAAGAATTATCCCACCAATGACAAAAACCTATTATTGTGCATCAAGCAATTAAACATTAGCATGAATACCTTCTAGAGCAGAAGATCATGGTACATGCGGACCACATACCATTTCACTATTTGCGGCCTTAGACTAAGTTGTGATAGAATTAACATATGATGTAGATGACTCAACTTCAATAATTCAATATGAAAATCAATACAAGAATGTGACCACCAAAATAATGGTTGACATGCTATCTCAAACACTAGTGGTTTCTTGGTTGCGTATATTATTATAAAGTTGACCCTTCTATGCAAAAAAAAAAAAAATCAAAATCTATACAAGAAGAATGCCTCATTCATTGAGATATTGGGAGACTTAAGAGGTTAACTTCTGAGTTGCTCTAAAAGATGATCTTCTCTATAAAGTAGTTCAACTATGCATATAGAAATCAACAAACCGACAATGAATATGGTAAGAAAACAATAGTGGACAATACATTGAAGAACATGCAGGCTATAACAATATGTTTATTGTTCAAACATTTAGCAAAATATGAGTACGTACAACAAAAGACCTTAAACTACAAAATGCTTAGGAAAAATGTTGAGCCTACTCAATCTATAATCTTGATTAACTAAATAAGGTGTATTTATGTGATATCCAATGTCACCCTAAACTAGGATATGAACTCCTTGGTGTTCACAACATCAATTAACTCAATGCAGATTTTATTTAAGTTACTCTGTTGGTTAACCAAGAAATTGATTGCCCCAAATTGATTTGAATCGAATCAATCAACTTAGGTAAATCATAGTTTAAAGTATCGAATACCACTTAAGCCTCAACGTGATAAAATGAAGCCTATTGAATTCCAAGAATGGCTAACTCAATTTAAAGCATGATTTAATTTGACCCTATTCATTCGAGTATATGCTAAAGTTGATTGGCTCATATCAAGCCTTACTAATTAATTAAACTCCATATGAAGCTGATTAATTCTCTTTGAGATGACTTAGCTCCACTCAAACTTGTATCTAGTTATTTGGGCTTGACTTAGTCCTACTCGAGTTAGATCTCAACTTTTTAAAATGATATAATTATTATTATTATTATTATTATTATTATTATTATTATTATAACTATTCATACAATTAATTAACACTATAATCATGTTAACTTTCATTTGGCCCTTTTATTGTATTTGACCCAAATTAATTCGCTTAAGCTATGATCCCTATTAGTTGAAGTCCCACCCATCAATTGATGATGGTAGGTAGCCCTTTCGATGAGATTAATAGAAGGGAATGAATATGAATCTTCCGGTTAATGTTCGAAAACATAATATGGATTTTGTGGTGGACATGTGAGGGGTTTAAGGGGGTATGGTGCAACTAATGTCAAGGTTGTTCAATTTGGGATGATTTAGAAGACCACTTTAAGAAATATGTTTTATGTCGAATAAATTGCTAAAAATGATGGGGGATGGTTAGCATGAGATAAGAACTTTTATATGGATTCTACAGTGAATTTTAGAAGAGTTTAAAGGGGGTGTTAAGATATAGTGAAAATGATTGCATCCTCATGTTCCTTAATTTTGTCGAGAGCTATATGAAGTGTTTGGAATGATTTTGAGATTTTGGTGGTTGGTTTATTGATCTGGAAGGATGCTTATGAAGTGGAGGAAGATGTATAAAGAATATAAATCAAGTATTATTATTAAAAAAAGCGGTAAATAAATTGAATGGGAAAGAAAAAAAAAGATAATTACTTATTCTCATAAAAAAAAGTACACATTTGAAACCACCAAATATAAAGCAAGTGAATAATGCTTATCCACGAAAATATTTCATTCCAAAGTTGAAAATTACAAACTTATCCACCCATATTTATAGATATTACAAACCTTAGACAACCACTTTAAGAGAGAAAAAAAAATAAAAGGAAAAAGGAATAGTTGTCATTAATAAAGAATTTCAATCACCTATTTTCAATGCTTCATCATATCAAACCCTATCATAGTTGGCCACAAAAGTCCCTAGGTGAAAAATAAAATATAAAAAATAATAAAATATAATTTATGTTTAATACATTTAAATTATGAACTCTTTATTATGCTCTTATAATTGAATCTTTGTTTTGATCTTTTCCTTATACTTTAGCTTTAGCTCTTGTAATTGAACTTTTAGCTTAATTATCTTGATCTACATGATATATTACAGCAACTCTTCGGGCTCAATTGAACTACGTTTTGTAAAGTTAAAATTCAAATAGTCTTTTACTAATTATGGGCCTAGAGCCTCAAAATCAGTACAAGCCAGTCATATATCATCAATAGATGATGTATTCTTCCAAAGAATTAAAAGTGGTGCTCTGCAATAGAATCAATGGGTCCTTCCAAAGTGATGATATAATTTACCTCCAAAAATAAGGAATTTTGCAAGTGATGAAGTATATATATTGCTAAAAAATTAGACTAAATAAGTGAAAATTTTGCTAACTCGCCTGTATAATAAAATATCTTTAATATTAATAACAAGATGGAATTTCATATTTGCAAATAAATCAAAATAAAAAGCATCAAATCAAATTTTTTAAGAATTTTGAAGGGGCAACAAACCCTTACATGCAATTTCTTAAACTTAAAGGCTTAGCAACGCTCATAACGAATGTAAATCAAAATATAATTACTTTTTTAGTGATTATAGTTTTCCCTAAAAGCATATTTATCATGACTTGTAGTAATTTAATATTTTACGGTATACAGTATCATGCAGGCTTTGAAAGTTCTTGGCAAATTTGAATACATACTTAGAAAATGCATGAAATGGAATGGTGACTACATCGATATGTCATCCAAGGTTTTAAACATACACTATTTTAAATGATGAAGTTTTGAGCTCTAGAAATAGCACTATTAGATGTAAATTCCTTTTTTTGTTTTTTTGTTGCAAGACAAGTAGATTTCCTAAAATTAAATTTACTACTTCAATTTGTCAACTAATTTGGAAAGGAAAAGCATATAGGAATTTCAATTTGGTGCCTAACTAATTTTTATAGTCTTCAAAAATATGAAGTGAACCTAACATCACAATACAACAACAAGATCAAGCATTTGTCCCACTACGTGAGGTCGGCTACATGAATCCTTTTTCTCCATTGTGTCCTGTTAAAACAGCTTTTCCAAGCTTCATTTTCTTTAAAACATCTCTAACATTGATTTTACTAATACACCGATAAAAATAAAAAATTTTATTTTCATTTAAGGTGCTAAGATCACTAAAGTCAATCGTATTTTCACAATCTTCATTAAAAAGTTTAGCAAAATATCTCATCCACCTTTGTTGAATATCATCTTCTAAGAAAAATAATTTTTGATCTTCACTTGAACTAAATCCTTACTACTCCTATCTCTTTGTTTGGCTAACTTATGCATATATCTTTCTCCCTCAGTATCTAATCCATTATATAAATCATTAAAAGCTAAGATCTTTATGTCACATATTGCTTTCATAGACTCCTTACATGCCTCTTTATATATTATCAGAATTTTTACATCTAAACTAATTTTTAAAACAAATCTTCTTATTTTTTATTTTCTCTTACACATTTGGATTATAGCACAAACTATTTTTACTATTAAGAGTTTTTCTCTTTGATACTCCAAGCACATCTTTTACAATAATCTTAATATCACTAATCACTTTTTTCACATAATATTAGCATCCTCATGTACAGACAAAATCTTAAGATCTAAAATCTTATTCTCAAAAATATTTTTGTTAATATTCTTTAATGCCCCAATTTAAACCTAACATCACAATAAAAGATAGTAATTAAAAGAAGTTCGTGTAAACACAATTTCCTAAAATAATGGTCTAGCAAGATGGCAAGCATCAATAATTTTTAAAAGTATAAGAAATGAGTCATCTTAGAAAACCTATCAACTACTACAAAAAAAAGATATATTATCATAGAGCCCTACAAGGCAATACTGAGATAAAATTCATCAAGATATTTTCCCAATGCCTAAAGGGCAAATCAATTTTTTTTTTACATGTGAAGCAATATATTGGTTGTTGTAACTTATTCATAGGTTAGATATTAATCCACTAATCATTAAACATCTTGTCTAATTAAAGGTAAAAAAATTTGACTTTTCATGAAATGTATTATTCTATCTTTCCAAAAATGACTAATAATTCCTCTAAAATATAATTTAAAAATTAAGAATTCCCTAAGAGAGGATTTAGGGATGGAGAGTTATTTTCCTTGATATAGAAATCCATTAATTGCCGACCCCACGTAGTGGGATAAAGGCTTGATGTTGTTGTTGTTGTTGTTGTATAGAAATCCATTAATTATTGAAAATGTCCCTAACAACAAAAAGTTTCTCCAACTGCTTGATATATATAAATCATATAAAAGTCAAGAAAGTCTATGTACTCGTCTCAAATTCATTAAAATCTTAGAATTTTAAGTTCCAAATAAGAGATTGTCAGTGTTAACCCTTGATGACGCATTAGTAGACTTATTTTTAACTCTATGTTTATATTTCAAGATGAAAATGTAATATTAAAGAAACTCAACCTACTTAGCATGTCTATGACATAATTTTTATTAGGTATTGCAAAACTTAAGAGGATGATCTTAATTAAAAATGAACTCCTTATATAAAAGATAGTGTCACCAGTGCCACAAAGATTGAAGGGCAATACAAAATTCTCTATCATATGTTGATTATTACTGTTATACTTCATTTAATATTTCACTAAAAAAAGCTAGAGGATAATTTTCTTAACTTAATATTTTTCTAATTTTAATTCAAAGTGCAACACAAGCTACCTCAAAGATTTTAGAGAAATCAAGAAGCCTAATGTTTGGAACACAAGTAATCAAAACCTTAATTTGATATAAAACTTTTCATATGACTAGAGTCTAATAGACTTAATCCAATTTTAGTAAGTAAATGATTGGAGCTACAATAGCACTAATTTTTTTTTATAAATCGACTATAGAAAGTAATTAAAACATAAAAACTTCTATTATTAGTGAAACTCTTAGATGTTGGCAAATTTAATATTACTTTAATTTTAATCAAGTCATGTTTTATTCCAATAATGTAAATGATAAATATAAAAAAAATCACCTCAAGTGATTAAGAAATATTTCTTCAAATTGATGAATAACTTCTCTTTCATAATAGGCTTAAAAACTTGTCTAAGATATTGCAGGTTAATTATTTTACTTAGGCTAAAAACCAAGACTTCATCAAAATTTACAATAATTTTTTTTTATAAAGAGTTTTAAGGATAGTATTCATTGAACATTTGAGAATCATAAGGGCATGACGATCCATTTAGAAAGCAATTTTTTTATTTTTCGCCTGATCAAATCCTAATTTGATAATAATCATTTTTTCAATCAATTTAGAAAAAAATTAACCCCTAAGATCAAATCAAATATGTCTTCTTATTAAAAAAAAGAAATCTATATTTGCTAATAATTTTATATATAGTCTAACTATTAACACACATTCGTCATATTTCATCTCTTTTAGGAGTTATTAATGCTAGGGCAATAAAGGGACTAAAATTTTCTTATGCAACACAATTCTTAAGTAATTCATCAATTGTCTCTTAATTTTAAGTCCAATGACAAATTTGTTGGTTGTTTTTCAATCAAGGTTTAAAATTGCATAAATAAGCCTCGAGGCGTTTTTCGTCCGTGAGGCAAGGCGTAAGCCCACGCCTCGAGACGATGTGAGGCGTAAGCCTCACGGACGCAGAATTGCGTAAATGAGAATTTAAGGATTTTAGCATGTAAATAATAGAAAGATTCTATCATAGAATAAAAACATCTAAATGACAAGTAGAATTAGTGAAAATTAAGAAAAAAGATGCAATAAAATCATGTTCTAAAATACAAAACCACAAAATTATAGTATATCAAAACTCCCAAAGTACAAATAAGAAGGAACATATATAATCCAATCATGTCCCATTACTAAATGGTTCTTCCAGGGAATATTCTTCTCCAATTGTATCTATGAATGTCATATATTCATCATCTTCAATGTGACTCACTTTTCTCTTCCATGTTCATTAAGAATGATCATTATCATGTTACTTGCTCACTTGATATAAATATAATGTAATAGCATATAAGAAGTTGTGGAATATCTTTATTTGGATGTTGTGCTGCAGAGCTAGTGGATGTGTGTGGTGTAGTACTAGTGGATGTGCCAACTTGATCTGTTTCGCCCCTCAAGACATCCACACTTAGATCCTCTAATTGCAAGTCTGATAATGGCAAATCCGTCTCATTATTTATGAACCACTCATTATCAGATGCCACATCATCACACACCAAAGGATCCTCATCATCCTTCAACCCCTTATTTCTCAACCTCATTTCTTCTCGGCATCCACTAAACGTAGAACTTGTACCAAGGGTCTCGTGCTCAATATGGCATAGGTCACAGTGGCCCAAAATTTATCATTTAAAATTAGCCTTCGTATTTCCTTCCCCCCAGTTTTCTTCCCCCATGCAGAATTAAGCCATTATGTTGATGTAAACATTGCGTCAAGAGGTTGCCTCACATCTAACAGGCTCTGCAGTGTCAAATAAGATGTGAAAAACCTGTAGAATAAATTTGCATTAAGAATTGAAAATGATTTGAAGTAAACAAATGTAATAACGAACCCAGTGGTTGCAGGACAGATGATTTCCTTCTTTGAAAACTTTCTCATTAAAGCTAAGACCCACGAGTGGTTGTATATGAACTTTGTGATCTTCTTCGCCCTTGAAAGAGCACTCTTATGTTGAGGTAAATCACCAAGTTCCTCCAATATAAAAGTAATGCAGTGTGCTGTGCAGGGGGTCCAATACAGGTGTTTCCTCTTCTTCATTAACATCTGACCAGCTGCTTTGTATGCACTTGCATTGTCAGTCACCACCTGAACAACCAATTGCTCCCCAATCTCATCAACAACCCCATCTATTAAATTGAAAATGAATTCAGCATTTTTAATCTCATCTGAAGCTTCAACTGACCGTAAAAACACAGTGCTGTAGGGATTGTTAACAAGGATATTAATCAAGCTCCTGCTCTTCATGTCAGACCACCCATTTAACATAATGGTAACACCAGTCTCAATCCATGTCCGTTTAATCTCATCAATGTTATGCTCTATGTTCTGCAGCTCCTTTAAAATCCATGTTCGCAACTCGTACATGGAAGGTGCCTTCAACCCTCTCCCATACAACCCTACTGACCGCAGCATATTGAAGTAGGTCGGCGATGTGGCAACATTAAATGGTATGGCATTCCAAAAAAAATCTATCAATATCCATGCAAATATGTCGTCGACTCTCTCTGGTACCAGCCGCAGGCATCATCTGTGCTTGTCCTCTATCCTCTCCTGGAGTAGTCATGTACTGGTCCATAGGACCCCGTGCACCTATATTATGTATAGTGGAAGAAGAGCCATTTCCACCCTCGCTCCCAAAGTAAGCATCATATTCGACCCTTTCATCAAATTGCTCATGTTGTAAATGTTTGGTTGTCGTGCTCTTTTTCATATAAGGTGTAATTTCCTCCTTCACGTTATCCGAAACATTTGCACAAGGTGCTACATTCTTGTGTGAGCTGGATAAGTGCTCCTTCATGCGAGTTACTCCTCCCTTCATCACCTTATCACAAAAATTGCATTTTAAATACACATACGTCTTCTAGCCGCCTCCTACATCAACTTGTACACTGTATTTCCAAGAAGGGTCACGCCGCAATGACGTATTTGTCCTTTCCTTTCCCTAACCATGTTTCCTAATACACAAATGCGAAAACATACAAAAAATCTCAAAAAATAGAAAACCCTAGCTTTTCTATGACTTGAAAAAACTTTCCTTGAACTAAAAAAAAAATACATAAAAGCAATAATGGAGTGCTTGTAGAGGGCGGTCGGACCTTTCTTGCTAACCGGCATGAGGTGGTGCCGGCGGGAGAGGCGACAGAAAGCCAACCCGAGCGGAGCCGAGCAGGACGTTCGCAAACAGAAGAGCTTGCGGGAGATTTTCTTTCGGGTAGGCTTAGAACCAAAATGGAAGAAAAGAAAAAAAAAGACTTAATTTTAAGTAGGTGGGACCGGGTTTGAAGAGGCGTGCGCCTCACCTCTAATTGCGCAATAGCGCCTTAGAGGCATGCCTCTGATCCCGTGAGGCGTAAGCCTGACATGAACCCAAAATTGCTTAGGCAATGAGGCATTTGGTGGCTGAATTGCGCAAAGGCGCGCCTCTAATTGCGCAATTTTAAACTATGTTTTCAATCATTGTCAGCATAATCAATTACAAAAATTAGATCTTCAAAGGTGTTTAAATATTCAACAACCAAAAAATTACCTTGCCATAAGGTCAATAAATGCCCTTGCTCTTTTTTATCATGATGTCACAAACAATATTTGGTACTTATATTTTTATTAATGGGGCGGTGATTATTCCTAGTCTATATTTTTTGCAAATGTATTTGTCCAATAGATTTTGCATATCCTATAAATTTTATTTTGACAAAATTAACTCGTTAGTAGTCATCCATTTAAACTAACCAGATCGAGAACCTATTAGGGTTATGATTATAGGTGAGAGCTTCAACTTTAAATCTCTCAAAGGGATCACATCATCAATGTTGTTATGAGGATGATCCCTTCTACCTTCATTTGCATGAGTGGGTTATCTCTTGTTAGATTGGTTCTTTCCTTAGTGTCACGCCCAAATGTTGGAACAAGAGATTTGGCTAAACCCCTTGGGCGTAACATGCCGAGCACAAGCGAAGAAATCCTCCATAACCATTCCTAAATGGGGTCACATGACATTGAAAGTTTATGAATGGTTCTAGAAGGTTCCAAAAGATTCTGGAAGGTTCTGGATAGGCCCAGAGTTTCCTAGAAGATTCTAGGGTGCTCTAGAATGTTAGAGTGGTGAGGATATTTAGAGAGTAATCTGGGATACTCTATAACTCTCTAGAATATTATAGAGTTATGTAAGAGCGTAGGAAATAATGTGGAGTATTCTAGAGAACTCCATACTCGTGAATTATGGAGGGAATTCTAGAATTTTCTTAGGCTTGAGAGGAGGGCTATAAATAGGGCCCTCCCCTTCATTTATAATCATTTCCCACATCTCCTAACTCCCTTCAACCCCTCAAGTAAAGTTCTCTTGTAATAGTGAAGCTTTCCCATTTACTTCCCCTCTAGCATTCTTTGCTCTCTAGCCTAGCATCGTGTGAGTTTAAGGCTGACTTAGCACAAGGATGGAGTACTAAGGCCAAACGGGAGACTTAAGAAAGATCTCTCCATGGCATTAGTCTATATAAAAATCATCTTCATCTAGGGTGCATTATGATATTGGGTAAGACATAAGATAGAATTTCTATTATTTGATAAATGACTTAAAATAATTTGCACATAATCTGAGTTCTCACGTTTGAGTTCTACACTCTTCAAATAACTCTTAAATCTTAACTTCAGTTTCCTGAATCTTAAAGTCAAAGCAACCAACCAGGCGGATCAAATTTTCAATCTAATCTTGGAAATTTGATTTGGGTGTTATAATTTGATTTTAAAAATAAAATAAAAACATACGACAAAAAAAGCCTTTATTCCACTACATGAGGTCGACTACATGAATTCTTTTTCTCTATTGTGTCCTATTAAGAGTAAAACTCTCATTTAAATATAATAAAAAGATCATTTTCAATACATTTTAACCAAGAAGTTTTAGGTCTAACATTATTTTTCTTAACATAGGCTAGATTAGGAGTGCGTATAGGGTGATGATGGGCAGTGGGAAGGTGAAAATGGGTAGAGTGGGAGTTGTGCTGACTATACAAGGAGTTGAGGTGAGGGAGAATTTTCTCCAATTGGAGTTAGGGAGCATTGATGTTCTCCTGAGAATGAAGTGACTGCAGACCTTGGAGATACCAAGGTCAATTGAGGAGCACTAGCGATGGAGCTGGTGGTGGAAGAAAGAAGAGTGGTGATTCAAGGAGATACAAGGTTGTCCAAGGCCATCGTGTCTCTCAAAATCATAGTTATGACCATATAAGAGGTGGGGGAAGGATTTTTAGTGGAACTGCAAAACTTAGAAGGGATCAGACTAGAGGAAAGGGTGCACTTTCCTCGTTCAGTACAACCACTCATACAACAGTTTCGTAAGGTCTTTCAGCCACCACAAGGCTTGCCACTATCGAGGGAGCAGGAGTATGCCATCACCCTGAGGGAAGAGGTGTCACCGATTAGTGTATGACCATACCATTACCCTCAAATTCAAAAGGTCAAGATTGAGAAGCTGATCCAAGAGATGTTGGAGGCAAGGATCATCAAACCGAGTGTGAGTCCTTTTTTTAGCCCAATCTTTGCTGGTCAAGAACAAGGATAGGAGCTGGAGATTTTGCGTTGATTACCGGGTTCTAAATAAGGAGACTATGCCGGACAAGTTTTCCATATCGATGATCGATGAGCTGTGTTGAGAAATGGTGTTCACCAAGGTGGATCTGAAGTCAGGATACCATCAGATCATGATGAGGCGAGAGTATGTACTAAAGACTGCTTTTAGGATACATGAGAGGCATTACGAGTTCTTAGTGATGTCGTTCGGACTCACAAATGCCCCTGCCAGTTTCCAGTCACTCATGAACAGGGTGTTCAAACCATATCTCCAAAAGTTTGTACTGGTTTTCTTTGATGGCATACTAGTGTACAATAGGTCAATAGGGGAAGCACTTGGAGCATGTGAGGGTGGTCTTGGAATTATTACAAGAGCATTAGCTTCATGCCAACCTGAAGAAGTGTTGCTTTGCAAAGGCCAGTATGGAATACTTGGGGCACGTGGTCTTTTAGGAGGGGATGGTTACAGATCAAGCCAAGATTGAGGCAATGCAGAAATGGCGTCTACCTAGGAATCTGAGAGAGCGGAGGGCCTTTCCAAGGTTTGATGGGGTACTACAAGAGATTTGTGAGAGGATACAACACCATAGCATGACCATTAACAAAGCAACTAAAGAAGAATAGCTTCTTGTGGGGAGAGGCGGCTAAACATGCCCTTGAGAGACTGAAGAAAGCAATGACCACAGTACTGATTTTGGCCTACCATATTTTAGTCTGATTTTTGTGGTTGAGACAGATGCATCAGGATATGGGTTGGGGCCATGGCAATGCAGAATCACAAACCCATAGCCTGCTTCAACCAAGTGTTCGCAGTCAAAGCTAGGTTGAAGTCAATCTATGAGAGGGAATTGATGGTCATTGTGTTAGCCATTCGAAAGTAACCACTATATTTGTTGAGTCAGCATTTCATTGTCAGGACTGGTCAGAGGAGCTTGAAGTTCCTTTTGGAGCAGATGATAGTGTCAGAGGAACATCAAAGATGGTTGTCAAAGCGATTAGGCTATGATTTCGAGATTTATTATAGGACATGATTGGAGAACAAGGCGACGGATGTCTTGTCCAAATGCATGGGGGAGCTTCAGGAGTTCGCTATGTCGATACCATTGAAACTGGATTGAGGGGCAATCAAAGAGGAGAGTATGCAGGATGAGGAGTTGGGAAAAATTAGAGCAGATCTTCTGAAGGATAATATTGTACCAAGAGAGCTTTGTAATGCCTCCGACCTCAGTTCATATCCCACAACTGCTGCAAAAGTTCCATGGAGAGCACAATTAGGGGTCACTCGGGTGTGTAGAAGACATACAGGAGACTGGCAGTGGAGCTATATTGGAAGGGGATGCACAATGATGTGTAAGAGTTGGTGGCTAGATGTGAAGTGTGCCAGCGAAACAAGAACATGGCTCTAGCTCCTGATGGGTTACTTCAACCCCTAGTTCTACCAGACAGGGTGTGAAAGGAGGTCACCATGGACTTTATTAATGGATTAACTCAATTTGAAGGGTTTACAGTGATTTTGGTGGTAGTTGACAGATTGAGCAAGTATGCTTACTTCACCTCCCAACAAAATCCTTACACGGTAACAATCACATTCATCGAGGAGGTGGGCAGGCTACATGGGATATCCTAAGTCATTTTTTAAGGGAGTTGTTCGGGCTACAAGGGATAGTGCTGAAGAGAGCACAACTTATCACCCCTAGATAGATGGGCAAACAGAAGTTATGAACAATAGCTTGCAGAACATACCTGCGATGTTTTGCTTCAGAAACACCTAGGGTATAGGTTAAGTAGCTGGCATGGGTAGATACTGGTTAATGTTTGTTTAAGAGGAAATTACTCCTAGGGTTTGTTTTATAATCTCAGTTTTTGATTTCTTGTGGGAGGGAAGTTTTCGCTTAAGGTGTTTGGGCTCTAGCCGCCGGATAGGGATTTGGGATAGCCGGATCCTCCTCTCCAATTGAGGATCCTATTGTATCTTATTTTTCTTCGCATAATCATTCAATGAAAAGGTGTTTGTGGGTGTTCATCTTCTCAATTTTTCCTTGTGACTTGCTGATTTTTTGTAAGAATTAATTAATTTCATCATGAGCAATTAACACAAAATATAAAAAGGTTATATAAACTTTTGTTTGCAATAATGAAATTTTTTTGTTCTCTTAAAGTAAGAGCACTAGCTTACCAAGAATTTCACTCAAAAAAAAGTTTTAAATAGGTTAACATAAAGGATATTGGTCAGACTATATGTAGAGCTCACTAGTTGAATTTTTATATTATCACCATAGGCTTGCAAGTAATATACTAGATATCCTTGTTATTAATATAAAATTTAATTTATCATAAGATATATTCACTAACCTTAAATTTGTCGAAGTGGCACATGAGCTTTTAGAAGCAAGTAGATCGCAAGAAATTTTTCATTGTTGTCCAAAAGTTCTGACCAGATTTTCTCTTTCCCATGCTCACTTTGATATTAGATATTCTGTTAGTGTAAGGGCCTTTTAGTGAGATTAATAGAAAAAAATAAATATGAATCTTTAGTTTAATGTTTGAAAAATGATTTTAAATTATGGTGGAAAGTTGGTGGCTTAGAGATTGTGCAGAGAATGCCAAGGTTAATTCATTTTGGGTTAGTTTGGGATGATTTGGAATATCACTTTACAAAATGATTTTATATAGGATAAGTGGCTAGAAATAATGGGGGATGGTTACATTGAGATGTGAATATTTGATCTGAAGTAAATGATAAGATTTATTAGAGTTCAAAGGGGTGTTGAGGTATAGGGAATGAATAAGGCTAGGTCCTGCTTAATGTTTCCTAATTATGCCAAGAGCTATATTTTGAAATGCTTTTAAATTTTTGGTTGATGGTTTAATGGTCTAGGAGGATGCTTATGAAGTGAAGGAAGAGGTGTAGAGAATTTAAAGCACGTGTTATAAAAGAGTAGTAAATGACATTAAAAAAAGGATAATTATATATTCTCATCAAAGAAAAAGTTAGAAAATTTTTGAAAGAAAAAAGGGATAAAAAATAAGGTTGATGACCATTAATGAGGAATTCCCACCACTTATTTTCAATGTTTCATCCACACCAAATCATATTAAAGTGGGCCATGCAAGTCCCTAGGTGAAAAATAAAAATATAAAAATAATAAAATGCAAATTATATTTAAAATATTTTAAATTATGGGTCTTTATTGAAGTCTTATAATTGAATTTTTTTCTTTTATTTTTTCATTGGATTTTAACCTTAGCTATTATAATTAGGCTTTTAGCATGATTATCTTGATCCGTCGGGCCTCGCCATTAACAAGAGATACAAATCCCAAATCCTCAATCGATATCAATGTGATAATATAACTAAAATCAAGCAATATATGAATCTTAGTCTGCCTCACGTACAAGGCAAGTTGTAAGACCCACTTTCATCTCTATCTCAATATGAAATTACATGTTTCACCAATAGGCCTCTCTAAAATTGGAGCAATAAGACCTATATTATGGATCTCTCTACAATCAAGAGATATAAGTCCCAACACTCAGCTAACACTAGTATGATATTTAATTTGGACCCGATCAGCATAAACTTCATCATTCTCAAGCCAGCACATAACCACAAGTTCAACCGAGATCCATTGGTCGAGTTATACCCACAAGTCCCACCTATATACTCTAGCTGAGTTACAATCCCATCAATCCCGCAAACATCTTGGGGCTGGACCACAACCCCATCCCACACAAATCTCTAGGACAAGTCATAAGCCAGAAGGTACCATTTTTTATCCACTATATCTAAAAATAGTAAGCTCCATCCTCTTTAATATTAAAACTCACCCGCTAAATGAATCCTACACTCGCCAAAGTGAATATTGCTTTACTCATTATTTAAAGTGATGCTCTGAAATTATCCAACTAAGTTTAACTCAGGGCTCCAAACTCAAGGCAACACATGGATATCGCAATCAACCTTCCAACATGGGATGTTAACCTCCACAATAAAGGATGGACCCTTGAGGATTGATCCTCATGATGGAAGTGTCCGATAAATGATACGATAAAAATTATTAATTCTGAATTTCCTATATTATGATATTTTTGCTTTTAATATATGTTTTGCACAAAAAAAATAGTAAAAAATTCATAAAACTCAAAACAGTGCCTCAACGGAGAGCTCAAATAAATTTAGCTGGAAAGCTTAGCTCCGAAGCACTATCCTGGAAGCGCCGCAGCGCCAAATAGCCCAACATTGCGCAGAAGTCAATTGAACCAGTGAATCGACGCGCCAGTTCAACAACATTGTAGTGCTTGTTTAATTAATTTGCAAAACTATAAATAACAGCCTTAGTCATCATGTAAGTAGGTGGGCACATTGAGGAATCATTTTGTGTGTGTGTGTGTGAGGATTGTCTTGAGAGGGAGCAGCTTCTGTATCTGTGTTGGAGTGTTATATCGGTGTGGAGCAAAGTGGAAAAGTGAAAAAGGAGGTGTATCTTAATTTAAGTTTGTTTCTAAACCTTGTTTTATATTATTTATCTTGTCTTTAAAGTTGTAACTTATGTTTATTAAGTGAAATAAAATATTCAGGTCGTATAACATCGTCTCCATGTGTAGCTAAACTTTCCTTCTTGAATCTATGATTATTTAAAAAGTATGTTTTGCTTAGAGTAGGTTTTTGCTTTAAAGAAATTATGTTGTTTTTTAATTCCTGTGTACTTCAATTGGTTTAAGTATAGGTCATACATAAATTAAAAATCTAATATGATATACAACCTCGACAAAAGAATAGAACAATTACAGATTTTAAAATATAGTTCGGACATAACATAGATATATGGTAGTTAGGATTATGGGATATTAAGAAGATAAAAGAATTGTAGTTAATAGGGATCCTAGCTAATGCTCCAACGAGCTCAACACAGACGATGAGCACTTATGCTCTGATCCACAGCAACAATATGGAGAAAATCACTCTAATACAATCGTGTATTTTTAAATATATCATAGGTTCATAACTTTTAAAATTAGTCAATTTATTTTTTGCATTTGAAGTTTTTTACCTTAATTTGCACCAGCCTTTTAAATTATTAAGCTATATAAATTTAGCAGTTCAGTAGGCAGCACTTAAGTGAATTTAGGATATTTCTAGTGTTTTTCCCGTGGGATTCTTCTCATCAGTATATTACTTGATACGACATGTGCACTTACGTTAAATAGGACTTACACTGTAAAAAAATTTAACCTTCATTAGAGAATTCAATAGTGCGTGTAAGCTAATAGCAGCAATTCTGTGATAGGAAGTAGATGTAATTTCAACCAAAATCAGCGAACACACAAGAAAATGGGATGAAGAACACCCAAGAAATTTTTTTATTAAAAGAACTATGAAGGAAAATACAATATACAATTGGATCTTCAATTGGAGAGGAAGATCGACTCTCTCAAATCCCTAACCTCCGGCTAGAACCCTCTTACCTAAGCAAACTTCAATTTCAACAAACAAAAACATAAAAACTAAACCCTAAGGTAAACAATCTAGTTAAAGCATGCCAAAAACATAGCAAATCCCAAAACATCCCTATTCCGCCTCATGTAACACTTGACCGGTCCATGAGGGAAAACTACCACAACAAAACATGGACTAGATTGACATTTTGCATTGGCAAAAAAAATATCAATTATTGAGGAAAGTTAATGGTATGTTAGAGAAATCAAGCAAACAACTTCCCCACATTTGGAACTTTAATTTCAATCAATAAATTCTCCTAAATGGGAAGTCTTGATTTAGGATTGAATCATGAAGTAGATAAACAATCTAATCCCTTAAAAGATGTTCATGAAAAATTTTCCTCATTGTTTGTGCATCAGATCATGAAAGGATAGAAAGATTTAAGCAACTGAAGATTATATATTGTCTAATTTTTTAGGAGAATGTTGAAGGTTGATTCCCATACCATTAAAATTAAAGAATATATCATCAAGAGTCCAACAACAAAGTTTAAGCATCAATCAAAGGCTTGGTTGTCAAGATCAGGAATTAGAAAGTGCAAGCCATTCAATCAAAATCCAAATTGATAAATTTGAAATCATTTGGATAAGTCTATTTTTTATTTTGAAATTGTGAATTACATTAAAATCAAATGTAATTATCTTTTAAATTTGAACTCATCTACTTTGTTATTTTTAAATAGGATTGCTTCTTTTGCTTCTTTTGTAGAGTTTATTTAGGATTGGATTAGAACTATCCCCTACAATAATTATCTGAAAATAGAATTAATTTCTTGCAATTGAATCAATCAGTTAAATCTCGCAAACTCTTTCTTCTCTTTTCTCCCTCTATTTTCCAGGTTAAAGAACTTAAACAAACTTTCTGTCGCATAAAGAAATAGGTCATAGTGTTGGCCGAGACCTGAAGCCCATCCATGTACTATTTATATGGTCACTCCCTTCCTAAAGCAGTGATCCCTAGCTGTCGTTTATTAATTGTTTGTTGTTGCTGCTCCCCTCTGTTGTTGTTACTGATTTCAGAGCCAATCCAAAGAACTTAAAAGGAATTTAGCAACCTGGACTTGTTGCCAGTCGCCACCATCTAGAGATCCTTATGATCAGTTCAAGGCTTGCTACAAGGAAGAATTGAATAGTTGCTTGTTGTTAACAAAAAATCTAGAAGAAAATACTAAGTTGAATTATCGTCCAGCCTGGAGTAACCCCGCATTAACAATTAATTAGTGTTGTCGAAGGCCAGAAATTAACTTCCTAATGTGACTCACAAATTCCTACTTATCAAGCAGATAAAGCAAGAGCAAAATTCACAGATCCAGGATTAAAACATGAGAGTGAATTCAATAAACCTCAAATTTGCAATAATATATCACTCATATTCAACCGGCAACAGTTAGCAGGCCTGCGAATGAGTGTCCTGAATCCCACAATCAAAGGCAAGTTGGGAAGTTTATGAATAATAAAATTGAAACTTTAACAAAACCTCAAAACTTCCGCGGAAGTACAACATAATCCCATTCTAAAAGAATTAAGAACAAGTAGATCAAACCTAAACATTTTCGCCCTCACTTCACGGATCTGATTTACATAAGAAACTGAAAATGAGAAAACATTCAGAAGTTATACACTGAAACCTGAGTTAAACAATGAAAGTAGGGAAACGTTAAATTTTCCATTCATACAAAACCAAGCTCCAACCATATAGGAGCATTCAAACAAGTAGATACTAGAAACCACCCAAAATCTAACACTCAGTCACAGAAAATAAACAAAGAATATCGCAACTCGTTCCAAAGAAAAAACACCCAAATCCTGTGGTTAATCACCAAATCTTCAAAATAAGTCGATTTAAAAAAAATAAAAATAAAGCAAACAACAAAAACAGCTGACCAAAGAGCCATCAGAAAAGAAAATTTATAGCAAAACAAGGAAAATGACAGAATTTAAAAATACCAGGCAAAGCCTTCAAGTAGTGAACTGCAGAACCATCGATAGAAATCGAGGTAGATAGTATTGATGAGGGAAACGGGGAGAGGAAAAAAAGGTAGAAGGGGGCAATGACATGAAAAGCGGCAAATCGCCCAAAAGCAGATAGCTTCGAGGAATAATTACCTCCCCGCGATTCTGTAATTAGGGGCCCTCCGCTCCTCCCGGCAGAAAATTCCAATTTTAGGGTTTTGATCGCCGCGGAGAGTTGAACTGGCCAACGCCGTCAATCGCGCCGGCTGGGCCGGGACGCGACGCGCCGACTTAGGCTGAGAGTGCTCCGCCTGCACGGCTCGGCGCGGGTAGGAGGCTTTCAACTATTCGGTAGTCCGCACGGAGGCATAGATTAATTATTTGTGAAATTGATTAGTCAGGGTAATACATTCAAATGACTATAATTACTTTTTTATTAATGATTATTATTTTATAATAATTTTTATATGTTAGAAAATTTATTATAATAGCAACAGAGCTTAATATCAAGATTTGACTTAGTACAAATCTTCATCTCACGCATACATGGAAAATAAGAGCCTTATAGTTTTATTTAAAAATTTAGAATAAAAATTAGGGGTCTAACCTAATTGAATTAATTCTATTAGCGTATATTTTAGATTACAAAAGATGTCATTATCTTTAATAGTTAAAATTTCATTAAAAAAGCTCCAAGGTTAAGCATCTCATATGAGAGAGAAATACACTACAGAAAAATGAGAACTAAGTATCATACAAGATAAAATGCTACGCTATAGAGGCTACCTCTTTATGGGTAGAATCTATTTTATTTTTGAGCGTGAGAAAATTCATCATATGAATAATTAAATATAAAAATAAAAAATATTTAAAATATTAAAATTATTTTTTGAAGATCTAATATCTTAAGAATGCTCAAAATTAGTTTGTATCATTATCAGCATCTTGAAATGATTGAATATTTCTTTCAAAAATAAGTTTAAACTATATCTTTCTTATCTTTCTGGAGTAAAACAAAATCCAAAACTCTAGAAAGACCCTTCTAGCAGCATTTTTATTAATACATGTCAAAGTTTTAGAACAGAACTATTACCTATCTCTAGTAAAACACTTTAGGGCATTTTTTCAAACAGTTGGCATACATTTTATGAAATATAATCATTTTGACAAGTTAAAATGTTTGGCACTTGTATGGTGGCATGTTTCATACAAAATTAATAGATAAAGCGGTGCATTTATCTCACTATCATCTGTGCCCATTTTGACAAGTTAAAATGTTTGGCACTTGTATGGTGGCATTTATCTCACTATCATCTGTGCCGAACATTTTTTTTGTTATGCCATCATTTAATTGAATACTCAATATTAGTTTGACAATAAGATTTAAATTATTTTGGTATCAACCTTATTAATGATAGTGAACCTTATTAATGATAGTGGGCCTTGTTGTGTAAAACAGTGGAAAAATCAAAACAACACAATCAAACTCAATTAACACGATGTGATTTATGTGGTTCAGCAAGGAATTGTATACGTTCACGAGGAGTGGATGATTTTATTATTGTAGAGAAACAGATTTACAATTGAACTCCTGCACTTACATCAATGTTTTTAGTACGAGCATTATAATATGGATTTATTTTAACAACCTAAACTCATAACTAGATATTGTTCGCTTTAGTCTAAGGGCTTCACGATTGTATTATGTTGGTATAACTTCTCGGGAGGTCGCCCATCCTAGAATTTCTCAGAGAAGAGCATGCTTAACTGCGAAGTTTCTTAATGAAATTCTGACCATTACATCGAAAGGCGCCTCGATGTTTAATAGTTTAACTTCTTTTACTTAAGAGGTTTCACATTTTTAATCAAGAATATCGCACTCTGATTATCACAAAATGCCGTCAGACACTCTTAATCAACTCCCAAGTCATCCAGTAGGCTTTGCATCCATATTACTTTCTTCATCGCCTCTATGGTTGCCATGTACTCAACCTCCATAGTAGACAAAGCAATAGTAGACTGAAAAAACATGTCTCCAACAAACTAGACCTCTTGGCAATGTGAATAGCCAGTTGTATACCTAAGCCTGTCAATATTATTGCATAATATGTGTCAGTGTAGCCTACACTTAAATCAGGAATAAATGACCACCTCTAAAACACCAAGCATACATCAATTATATCCTTCAGATGCCTCAAAATGTTATTCACAGCCTGTCAATAACTACTTTTCGGATCATGTATAAACCTGTTTACAACATCAAGTGTTTGTGTAATGTTTATATTGAGCTGCTTCAAAATCAAACCATAATATGCTAAAAGTGCTAAGAGAATACGGGTAGTGTGAGATATGCTTACCCACTGAGGAGAACACCTCATCATAATCAATATATTCTTGTTTTGCAAAGTCTTTTGTCACCAACCTAACATTATATTACACATTAGCTTCATGAGATTCTTCCTTATTTGTGTACACCCATTTGCATCCAATGGCTTTCCTTCCTAGAGAAAGCTTCACCAACCTCTAAGTAGTGTTCTTCTGAAAAGACTTCATATCTTCATTCATAGCCCTTTTCCAAAGATCACCATCTGGATTATCCACTGCTTTATTATAGTGACTAGAAATTTTAGCCTCCATGGCTGAAAGTGCAAATGCAATATGATCTCTTAACCAAGTTGTTTTTGGGACATTCTAAGGCATGATCCTACTTTTAGTAATATATTCTTGAGCAGGAACCTCATCCTCAACATCATCTCCTACATTTCTCTGATCAATGTCAATATAAACCCGATGATCTACAATTAAATCATGTGCCTATGTACAAGTGGTTGTACTCTATGAAGCAAATAGAGTTGCATCAAACTCAAACTTCTACATTGCATTTGTGGTCTGAATAGAACTCTCTACTTACTTTGAGCCCTAAGGCTTCAACATGCTCACCTCGTCGAATGTAACATCTCTGCTAATAATAATCTGATTCTCTCCCTGATCATAGAGTTTGAAGCCCTTAACTCCACGCTTGAAGCCAATAAAGATTAACTTCTTTGCTTGTGGTTCTAGTTTATTATTTTGAATATGATAATAAGATGGACACCTAAACACTCTTAAGTGCTCATAATCTCAAGCATGATGCCCTAACCACACCTTCTTTAGGACTTTCTTCCCAATAGTTGCAGAAGTTAATTAAGACGGTTCACCAAGTGATAGGCATAGTCTATAGCCTCAGCATAATTGACTCTTATAACCCAACATTATATAACATTTACAAAACTTTCTTCATCAAAGTCTGGTTCATCGTCTATACCACCCAGTTCTACGGTGGTGTCTCTTGAACAATGAAGTGGTGCTCTATCGCAGATCTCTAGCACTCTTGTAAGAATACATCTAATGTGTATTTGCCCCCGTTATATGATCTGATATACCAGATCATTTTACTAGTTTCAGTCTCGATCAACTTTTTCAAAATTTTAAAAATCTTCAATACATTGCTTTTTTGCTTCATGGTGGACACCCAAATATATCTAGAGTAATCATCAATAAGAGAGATAGTATTTTTGCCCATTGAATGGTAATGTCCTCATCGTGCCCCAAACATCTATATAAACATACTCAAGAATACCATTTGAATTATGGATAACTGCACCAAAGGATACCCATATCTTCTTTTCAAATACACAATATTCATAAAAATCAAGTTTGTAGGTGCTTACTCCTTTAATTAATCATTTATTTATTCAATCCATAAGTGAAGCCTCTCCATCATGAGGTAGCCTCATATGTCACAATGTAGTGGCATCAAAAAAATCATCAATATTAACAACCATTCTAATCAATGTTCTGCCCAGAAGATAATAAAGGTTGCGATGATGAACTCCCTTAAAAAAATAGTGCTCCATGATATATCTTCATAACTCCTACCTCAATAACTACCTTTTAGCCCTTGGTATTTAAGGCCCCAACAGATAATAAATTCTTCCTGATATATGAAATAGGTCTCATATCAATCAGCTCTTTTATATTATCATCATGCATCATGATAAGGATGCTTTCTACACAAATAGTATGATGATCTTGATCATTTCTTATAGTCATTACATGACTATCAAGCTCCCTGTAGGTATAGAACCACTCTTAAGTGGGATAAATGTAATATGTAATATAATATCTCAAGATTAAAATTGAAAAAAACTATTATTTTTATCTTTTAAAATTAACACTATAACAATATATTTATCTTTTATCAATATAATATCAATTAAAATAAAACTAGTAATTAAAACATCAAAATATATCTGCATTCTTATTCCAAAATTATATACAATGCTCAAAAATCATGTCATTATAATATATCATCACTAGATCTAAATACAAAAGAATAGCTAAAAGATATAAAAAAATAAACTAAAAATAAATCTAGAGAATTTTGATATGATCAATCTCACACATCTAATCCTCTACCCTAACCTAAAATTACTTAAATATATATAATGAGCTAAAAAAGTCCAGCAAGTCATCCAATTCTACAACTAATTAAAAGCATGATAAATAAGGCATATGCATGTCAATAGTTAATTCATAGTAGTAGTAGTCATATAATCATAAATTGATACATAAATAATAAAATTCAGATGCAGTAGCAGTAAAGTCTGTAGCTAGTAAAATATTACATTATGAAAAGCTAGTAAAACGGTACATTAGGGAAACCTTAAAATTAATGCGAGTGTCAAATTGATAAAGTAGTTGTCATATCATTATTATCAAATAATAAAGAAATCATACAAAGCAATAAAATAAAAGCATAAGTAAGAACTGTTAGAACCATATTAATGTTGTAAAACTCTATAATGATGTATACATATTACCCAGTTATTTTACATCAATATCAAATAAATATTTTAATCACATGTTTAGTATATTAAGTGCTTAATATATCACATGCTTAGTATGGCACATGATATGTATCAGTAATCAGTACAATGAATTAATAGTAGTCTCAAATAATATCGATATTCGTATCAATAATCATATCAGTATAGTATCGTTAGTAAAATCAATGATAGTAACAGTAAAACAATACATTAATAGTAAATTGTATATTGCAAGTAAATAAAAATAATAATAACAGTAAAATCAAAATCTTGTAATAATAATAATATAATCAATAATATGTATTTTAGTAGTCCACTAAATAAATAAGATGTCCTAATTTAAGCTATATTTTTCTAGTAAGCAATTATCCATATCAATATCTTATTGACTCAATAAATAGAGCTATCCTCTTTGCATGTTGATATAGTAATAACTCATTAGAACTCCCAATTAATATCATGTGAATAAGTAAATGATAA